AATTAATGGAAACTTTATTCAAAGTCAGCATGTAATTATTTTGTTTAATTAATTTAATAAACTTAATGAATTTGATTCGATGGTACCAACTTTCCTAAAGTTAGATTGTTTAACTCATTGCTTTTACGAACAGCTTTACTCTTCTGCATATCCTTGATAAAAAGCATTTTCTTAATTAAGTGATTACAGTTTTACAGTTGTTGGATTTGAAGCAGATATGCCAAGTGACCAAACTAAATTCATCATCATGATCATGATCATTATCACAGTCCTGATGAATAGTTGTACTCACAATGAGGCTCATTGCTTTGAATATCTACTGGAACTCAAGTTCACTCCACCACCAACTTCAAGTGCAACTTGTATATACAATCCATTGTTAAAATTGTTTTTTTTTCACTCTGAGTAAATTTCGGCTCTCAGTAGTTTGGGGTAAAGGATGAAGGTAATAAAATAATTTACTGAAACCTGAACCTTGCCACCCTGCATGCAAAGCTCCTTGACCAAGGAATGGAGGGGAGTCAATTGAAGGTAGAGAAAATGGAAAGAAAAACAGAAGTGTTTTTTCTACTAAAATAAATTGTTTTGACAAATGTGATTTTTAACCGATGGCTACTCAAGCCAGTTGAAATCTGAAATGCTTGTGTTGACTTGCAGAATTTTTGGGTAAATCAGAACCAAACTTTGTCTATAAAAATCTCTACAACATAACCATCAAAATAGTGGGAGACATCACACTGGAAGTGGGAGTTGCAATGCCTTCCAAAACATCTGAAAACCTGACCAAACATAGACTCAAAACCAGTGGCTGTGAAACCACTCCACAATGAAGTCTGGACAACTAAATTAACTCATAATTTCACCCTATCATAACAAAATAGTTGTTTCCATGACAAAGAAAAAGTAATGTTCTCAAAACAATATTCTACATCAAATTACAAGAACTATTAAGAACATTTACATTTTATACCTTCAAGGTAAATATACAACCCTTTTAACTGGGTTGAACTTACTGAAACTCTTTTATTGTACCTACTTCCTTGTAATTTGTGTTGTTATATGTACACTGGCTTTTTCTTGTTATTTTGATTTTGATTGTAAAATTGATTTTTTTTCCCACAAAAATTGAGCCTTATTTTTATAAAAAAAATAAGTTACTTGTCCAAGAATTTATTACCTGATTTTCTGGGTGTACAAATCACTAAATTTGTGCATCCTTAATATTTAGGAAAAATTTTCTTATATTTTATTTTAATAAAATTGTTTTGGTTTTATATCTCATTGAGTATTTCTTTTCATCTTTTTACAGTTCGCCTTGTTGTTGCTTGATCTCCATGCTCCTCAGCCTCTTTTAAATGAACTCACAAAAAGTATATATTAATAGTTTCTTTTTTCCTTTTTTTATTTCATCACTAAAGATGCTGGAAAAATAGTCAGCTCCTTATACTACTCCTGGAAATATCTGACTCCTTCTGCCATGCTTTATTTTTACAAAAGTTAGGTTACACCAAAAATGGAGTATTGCTGCCACATCTGGGTTGGAGCTTCCTAATCCTAAATTTCCAGCCTTCATAGTGTTTCACAGATGAAACACTGCAAGCTTATCCCTATTCTGTTACTATTTTCATGGAAAATGATAATCCTTAGTTCTACCAGTTTAGGCCTTTACAACTAAGACCTGTCAGGTCATTTACACAAGGACAAATCATCCTCATTCTTCTCATATTCCACTAGAAAAAATGAAGTTCCACTCAAGCTTCTTCCCAAGAACTGCTACTGCTAGAACAGTGAGAGGATGTTTCACCAAAATCTTAACCACTTCAAATCTTGGGTCAATCATTATCTATCCTACATATTCTCATAATCTGTTGGTAGGCTTAAATTCAGCTAGCCTATCTTCTAAAATGTGACTTCTGACATGGAGTCAAACTTATATCTCTCTTGTAGGGAAAACAACCATTCAATCCACTCAAACCAACCCCATAAATAACAGCTCCCAGTGTCGAACCAGCTATAATCCACCCCATATATACTCTGCCATAACATATGACAACCTCATTGCAAATAACACAGAAAGTCACATAAACAGTGAGACTTTGACTACATGCTCCTTTGGTCATCTCTTCTTTGCTCACTTGGTGAAGAAAAGACAAATTTTATAATCTTTTTCATTTTTTTTTGAGAACAAGAAATCAATCATGAAAACAAAATGGAGTCTAGTGATTTGGAGCACTCATTTGAGGGATATATGGCCCAGTTATTCTAGGAAAATCCAAAGAAAAATAAAAATAAACTAGAAGAAATGCAAGATGAATTGGATATTGACATTTCTGACATTAATGGTGACATACTGACTGATTCAGATGAGGATAATGATATTGACACATATGTGTCAGATTTTGAGTGGACAAAAGATGATGTCAATTTAACAGTGTTTTAGGAACCTAATGGACATACACATTCATTGTCAAAGGATACCAAGCAAATTGACTATTTGTCTTTGTTTATAAAATATTTTCTTGTAATTCAATCATTTTATATGAATTCATGGGGCTATATATATATATACATATATATATATATATATATATATATATATATATATATATAGAGAGAGAGAGAGAGAGAGAGAGAGAGAGAGAGAGAGAGAGAGAGAGAGAGAGAGTGAGAGAGAGAGAGAGAGAGAGAGAGAGAGAGAAAAGAGAGAGAGAGTAAGTGAGAGAGAGACAGACAGACAGACAGAAAAAAAGAGATGTTTAATGTGAATGCTAAAGACTGAAGGCTTTCACAATCAAGCAAAGTTCAGTTATCCTATTTAGGAAATGCACATCTCTTGATCTAAAAGCAAATTTACATTTTTAATAAAATTTAACAATCCTTTATTTCATTTACAGCATGTTATAATTTTATAATTCAGAAAGTTTGTTGGGTTTTTCATATAAATTATTGAAATATATCTGCATTGCTTATGTCCTTTTATATATTGCTTACTTCCCCTTACAACCAGGCTGTTATCTAAATGTCAAGGTAATTTCAAGAGAAAAAATAGCTTTATTTGAATAGATATGCAATTCAATTACAAAAGCCCTCAACAAAAAAAATTGCACAAAAATTTCACAAAAACAAACTTGGAAAAGAATAAAAAGTGATTTTGAAAAATTTAATTTATAAAACTGAATCTAAAGATTAGTTGATATATTTAGTAAACACCATTTAGTTAGGCAGGGTATAAGACATATGCTTGTAGTTATAAATAATAAAACCGCATTTATTTTATGCCAGGGCTTTATGTAATATTTGCACACACATGCAGAAAATAACAACTTTATTATCTAATTCATTTTTAGAGTTTTTAGCAAATATACATAAATTATATATATATATTGTAAATACATATATATATAAATATATATATATATATATATATATAGAGAGAGAGAGATTGAGAGAGAGAGAGGAAAAGAGAGATGTGCATAAAGTCTTAGGTATATTCAACTTAAAAAAGGAATTATTGCATTCTTATTTAAAGTATCTTATGAAATATGGGAACAGCTGGCAATGAGAAGCTTGAGGAATGTCTTTTCTTTAATCCCATGTGTATGTCTATATATTTAAATGGATGAAGTGCTAAACCAAAAGGCAAAAAAGATACAAGAAATACCCAGGAATTTTTACAAGCAAAAAGATTGGGTCAGGAAGGCAAAAAATGATTTAGAAAAAAAACAAAACAAAAAAATAAAAACAAATCCGTCTGTTCATCTATTTCTTTCTTTGAGACAATTACAATATGCTATCTATCTATCTATCTATCTATCTATCTATCTATCTATCTATCTATCTATTTATCTATCTATCTATGTCAGTCTGCTCATATCTATCTATCTATCTATCTATCTATCTATCTATCTATCTATCTATCTATCTTCTATCTATCTATGTCAGTCTGCTCATATCTATCTGTCTATATCAATCTGCTAGTATCTATCTATCAATCTCAATCTTCTTATATCTATTTATCTATTTATTTCTCTCTCTCTCTCTCTATATATATATATATATATAAATATATATATATATATATAGATAGATAGATATATATATAAATATATATATATATATATATAGATAGATATATATATAAATATATATATATATATATAGAGAGAGAGAGAGAAATAGATAGATATATATTATATATATATAATTTTGTTTATATTTATCATAGTGTAAATAAATAGATATAAATTTAAGAAAATCTATCTATATTTGCATATGCATATTTTTTGCAAATGAGTGTTTACATACGTTTAGTTAGATGTACTTATGAATGTGCGTGTGTGTGTGTATATATATATATATATATATATATATATATGAGTGAAAGTTGCAATTTTTTCCCTTTGAGAATATCTTAATAATCTTTCTAGCAGATAGATGCTGTTAACAAAGTAATAGGCAATGCTACTTTATCTGATGAAAAATTGGTTTTTACTTTCACTTGCATTTGTCCTGAGCATAGTGTTGGATGGAGCATGTGCCGTCAATCAAATTAAATCATCTTCATATCCATCATCTGCCATCTGACTCAGGAGTGTCTTCACATATGGCTGCCATGCCAACACCGAAAAATGTGCAGGTTACATTTGGGATATTGAGGACGTGGGGTGAGGAGAAGTAAAACTAGTAAAAAGGTGGTAGGAAAGAAGATGGTCATGCCAGATGATGAAAAGGTAGAAGGAAAAGGGAAAGGATGACAGGAGGCAAAGGTAAAGAAGAGAATAAAGTAGAGACAAAGAAAGAATGATATGGTAGATGAAGAGGAAACTGATAAAGAGTAAGAGGAGGAGGTAAAAGGGAGAATAAGGTTGTGAAAAATAATGTATAAGACTCATATGACAGATTTAAGGAGTAAAGGAAGAAGAAAAGTGTAAGGAGTAAGAGGTAAGATTATGATAGGGTAGAAAAAAGGAGAAAAAAGAGGAGAATGAAACAAAATAAGACTAGAATAGAGAAGAGATGAGATCGACAGAAAAGAAATGACAGGAAAAACTGAAGAGAACTCTAGAAATGATAAGAATAAAAAATGTGAGTAAAAGAAGAGAGAAAAGGAAGAGAAAAAGGAGAAGCAGTGGAAGGCTATAGAGTGGAAGGAAAAAGGAAATGAGAGGAGGGAAAATGAATAATAACTGTAAAAGAAGAGAAGGTTTTAAAAAGAGAGGTGGGGGCAGTGACAAAAGGAAAATGGAGGAAACAGATGAGAAGTATATTGAAACAAAAACTGGGAGAGTTGAAACAATACTGATAGGATGCAAGTAAAAAAAAAAAAAACAATAATTGTGTAAAAATTAATGAAAAAGAATCTTGGAATGGATTTTTTTAATTGTCCAACAGATTTTGTTACTTTAAATGTTACTTTTAGCAGATACTCCTATTTGAGTAGTATATTTATTTATGTTCATCTACCAGCCTGAATGTTTGAGAGATCTTATTAACAACAAAAAAAAAAAATGAGGGAAAATTTTTCCTATTTTTCATGAAGCAATTGGATAATATTGAATTTAGTACTATTTAAAATTTTTTTTGATATCATTTATATTGCTCATTTCAATTTTAAAATTCAACTAAAAAAAATTGCGAAAAATATTTTGATGAAGAAAATATAATTTATACATTAAGAGAAAATATAAAAAATATAATTTACTTATTAAGTGAAAATATAAAACTTGTATTTAAATGGAAGCTCTTGCAAAGTAAAGATGCATAGAAAGAATGATAGAATAAATGATGGTAAAATTCACTCATTTGTTCTTTTGTCTCCTGAAAGATTTATTTGCACAATGGAAAAAAACTTTTTGAATGGATGTCAATGAGAATGATTTGACAAATGAAACAATATGGCTGCCATGTAAAATTTGCTCATTCTCTCCAACATGTCCCAAATTGCCAATCAAACAACTTTTTTTTATGAATCTATCCCCCTTTCTCCTCTTATCATGAAATAATTCTGATTACAAATATAAGGATTTCTATGATGATGATGATGATGATAATAATAATAATATTGCTATTATTATTTTTTTAATTTAATTTAAACCCCCTTCAAATTAATTATATCAAAAAAATGTAAAAGTGGAACATTTTTGCTGATTTTTAAAAATGTATTTGTTCTATTCTGAACCTGAACAAATTTTTGAAACATTCTCAACATTGCATGGCTATAAATACCAATTTATGGTTCAGTTCCAGATATAAGAGGAATTTCATATTTATATAAATTCATATTTTCCATGTTTTGCTTTATTTATAATAAAAAAGTAAATTTAAATAAATAAATCTCCAGGCTCCTCTAGAAAGTCTGGTATGGGCAAAAAAGCATAAGAACTGAACATTAAAAGACTAGCAAAATGTATCATGGACAGATAAATACAAATTTGAAGTTTTTGGTAGTAAGAGGAGAATGTATGTGAGAAGAAAGCCAGGAGAAAGACTGAATAATGAATGTTTGGTTCCAACAGTTAAGCAAGGTGGTTGGTCTGTTATGGTGTTGGAGTGTTTTGGGGGAGAGAAGGCTGGAGATTTGATTCAGGTCAAGGGAATTATGAAAAAAAAAGAACAATATCATGTGACTTTTCCAAGACAATGCTCCAAAACACTCTTCTAAATTATGTAAAAAAAAAGAACAAAATTTTAGAAAACATTGACTTTGCCACCTCAGTCATCTCCCACTGAATTAGTATGGGATGAATTGGATTGAAGAGTTTACAGAGAATACCCAAAGAGTAAGAGTGAACATTTTCAGTGATTGAAGAATGCTTGGAAAAGTCTACCATTGACCATTTTTTTCAAAAACTGTTAGAAAGAATGCCAACAATTTGTAAAGAAGTAATTAAGGCAGGTGTTGGTTCTAAAAGCAAAAGAATGTTGAAAATATTGAACCCTCAATGTTCCTCATATCAGTGTATATCATTTAAGTAATGTACATAGTAACTCTTAAGGGAGTATGTGTATATATATATATATATATATATAATCTCTTATTTACACTATTTATATTGTTCAAACAGTTGTCCTCAACAACCAGTGGATAAAAGTGCCCCAATGGATAAAAGCGCTGGTTGAATCCATCAGTGTAGATTGTTCTAGTTCCATGTGCCATGCCTCTTCTGGATGTGTTATCTCCCTTTAACTCTCAAAGCTATAGCCCAGTGGATAAAAGCAGTGAAATTTCTAGGGCATATAATGAGTTGTTAGTTCAATACCTGGTCATAGCAGTGGTGAGCAAAAACTTGGAGTTGAGTTAAAGGGAAATAACTGATACTGAGACATCAGGAAGAGGCATGGCATGTAGATCTAGAACAATCTACCTTGGTGGATGAAATAAAGGGTTCAATTTGAAATTCCAATCATTTGAAGAAGGCTGGAGTGTACAATGACTGAAATGTGAATATTGCAATGAAAATGAGGACAACAGTCCGAACAATGCAAATAGTGTAAATAATTGCAATACCTCATCACAGAAATATAGATAGATATATAATCTTTTATTTATATGAAATCATATCATTATTAAATAGTCTTCAAATAATTTTCTCCTTTCCTTTAAATTATGTATTTCATCATATGAGATAAATGCAAAAGTTTTCAGCACTTTTTGACAAAACCTTTTATTCCAATAAATTCATAGTATTATGACACATTTATCAAAATATTTTCCTTTTCTTTTTTAGACTTTATTCTACCTTTGAACTAAATTGTGATATTCTGAAAGTGACAAGTCTAGAAAATTCAGAGTTTACTCCTCTATATCTATATAACTCTCTCCTCTATTATAGGCCAATTCTTACTCCCTTTCCTTTTATTTTTCCTTTTTTCCTTCTTTCCTTCTTTCCTTCCTTTGTCTTTCAAGTTTCCCTGTGAAGAAACGTGGGATTTTATTCATTTTAGTAAATGTATTTGCATTGATAAGTCCAGGGAAAAACTAATTTCCGATGGATGAAATGATCATCTGTATGAGGTAAATTAATTGGATTTCATTAATTATAATTCATTTATATGCTCTATAATAAAAATTATATTGAGCTCTCTTTTGTGGATCAGTTTTAATATTTTATATTAATAGGTTCTACTTGGATTATTACCTACACCAGAAGTGTTGAAACACAATGGCTATTTTTGTAGTGATTTTATAATATATTTATGTTATCACTTTCGAATAAATTATATATGCTCTACTCTGTATTGAGCACTCTTTTAAGAATAGTATTTTTTGGTTATTGGAATTTATTCGTATACACCAATCCTATACTTATATATATATATATATATATATATATATATATATATATATATATATATATAGAAAAACGATATATAAATATTTTTATATATCAAGAACAATTTTAGCAAAATCTATGACAAAGTGGAAAAAGTTTTCTTTAGGACATCATTGGACTCTAAATATATATATATATATATATATATATATATATATATATATATATATATATATATATATATAAAGCTCTTTTAAAAGTATTTAAAATGGAGCACTCTTGCATTCATGAGAAAAGGAATATACAAATCATGTATGTGTATATATATATATATATATATATATATATATATATATATATATATATATATATATATATATATTGTGCATATTTTAAATATATTTTTATTTTTCAATCATTAACTATAAACATATATCTGTATATTTAAGATATGTATATTTGTTTATAAATATATATATATATTGTTTCTGAGTTTAATGGAGATGGGATTGTACAGTAAGAACTGATATGTTTTTAATATCTTTTGTTGCAGAAACTTAATATCTACTTAGTGAAAACATTTTAATTTGGAATATATAAGAAATTCTTATGATGAGAACTGGACCAGTTTTGAGATTCCCTAAATGTAACTATTGAAATAAATTACAAAATTTGATAATTAAGGCAATTTCCTTGCAAAAAATATTCCAGCCCATTTTGGAATAAGAAAAGTGGAGATGCTTGAAACCTATCTAAAAATAATAATGGTATATTTTGATGTTTTCTATACAGTTACAGTTTATTTAAAATATTCTTGGAAAATAATCTTAGAACAAAAGAGATTCTTCAAGAAAGCATTACATTATATATATATATATATATATATATATATGGTAAAAGTTTACTTGTGATGTGTTTCATCCATTAGGACTTTATCGGACTGGTTTTGTTGACATTATTATGACTACATATATGCATGAACAAGAGATGCTGGTAGTTTAAAAATTTTTGAAAGAATATTTTGAAATAATTTTTTTTGCAATTTAACCAAATTGATCCATATTTTTTTTCTCTTTCTTTCCATCATTTTTTTTTTTAGATATCACACATTGTGATAACAGAAAATTTGACAAGAATGTTGAAATGTTATCAAAATGTTAAAGGAGCAGAAGTATTAAAATCTGAAGTGGAACCTGTATTGGCCAAATTGAACAGATATAGAGCAGGAAGCCCAGACAGAATTCTAATAGAATTCCTGACAGTCTTAAATGATTTTGGCATAGACAAGATTAAAGACATAATAAATGAAATCTGTAATAGTTGTGATATACCAGAAGACCTAAGTAGATTTTCATAGCACTGCCTTAGAAACCAGGTGCAGTAAATATGACCTTCATTAGACAATCAGCCTAATGAGTTATATAACAAAACTTATCCAAATTCTCATGAATAGAATGCACAGAAGGATCAGACCAGAAATAGAGCAAGAATAGTGGAGTGTTGTTAAAGACACTGCAACAATGAATGCAATATTTATATTCAGAATACCAGAAAGAACATTACAAATGCAAAAGGATGTGTACCTGTGTTTTATAGATTACACAAAGGCATTTGATAAAGTACACCACAAATAACTGTTGTAACTGCTTAGTAACCTTGACATATTTGGGAAGGATATTAGAATAATCAAGAACCTATACTGGTCGCAAACCATCTGCATATGGATAGAAAATGAGTTCAATAGATACAAAAAAGAAAGGGGTGTAAAACAAGGTTGTCTCTTCTCAACAGACTTATTCAATGTAAGATATGCAATTGACCCAGTGTTGATAGCAGACATGGAAAGAAAACTACAAGAGCTACCACAGAAAGTAATGAAGGAAAGCAAGAAGAAAGGACTAAACATCAATAGCAAGAAGACAGAATGCATGATTGTTCGCAAAAGGATGAGTCCAAAGTGTGAATTGCAAATTGGAGATACCAAAATCAAACAAGTGCAGGAATTTAAATATTTGGGAAGTGTTTTAACAGATAGAAAGTATGACAAGGTGCATTGGGATAGCAAAAGATGCATTCAAAAACCTAAGCAAAGTATTATAATAAAGAAAAACATTGCTGGAAACAAGGAAAAGACTACTAAACTGTTACATGATATCTGTCCTCCTGTATGGCAGTGAGTGCTGGGCAATCTCTTCAGAGATGAAGAAGAGACTTGAAGCAACAGAAATGTGGTTCTACAGAAGGAAATTGATGGTACACTGGAATGATTATATGAGTAATGACAAAGAGTTAAAGAAAATGGAAAACAAAAAGGACAGTTACACTTAACTTTAGAAGAGATGGTTGAAATTTCTAGGGCATATAATGAGAAAAGAGGGCTTGGAAAATCGAATACTCACAGGATAGATTGAAGACAAGAGGGACAAAGGAAAGCAATGTATAACCTACATAGTGAGCTTGAGTAAATGAATGATGGAACAAGGTTTAGGAGAGATAACAAAAAGAAAAAATTTATTAAGAGCTATAAAGGACAGGAAATTGTGGAGAGCCATGATCACCAATGTCATGAAGAGGCATGTCACATAAATAAGAAGATATAGACAAAAGACTTTTGTGACATAAGCAAGTTTTAATGTTCTACCTATCATGATGACCTAAGAAAGTTAAAAACTTAGATCATATTTCATGTACATTTCTTCAGAATTGAACTTCAGAAAATTTCTGATGGAATTTCCTCCTTGTCCAAGAAAGATTATTTAAATTTGGAAAAGTTGATCATTAAAATTAATTAACACAAAATGTATGCTGTTTTTAATAATATTTGACTTTATATTTATATATTTAGATATTGCTAAAAACCCTGATGAGTGGACAGAAGATTTCTGTCCATATATGAAACTCAGGAGTTGGGATGCGGTAGGGAACACTAATCAGCTAAATGACAAACTGTACTAATTATATATATATATATATATATATATATATATCAAAGTTTGAATTCCATTCACTTATGTGCTTATACCTTTGGGAAAGGTATTAATCCTCTTCTTCTGCCTCCAGCTATGGGCAATTAGTAGGACAGACTGGTTTCTATAGCCTTGGATGGCAACTGGTCTAGGAGAAGGACAACTCTGAATTCAAAACCTGCAGAAGGTTGTTTAGGGACCTTGTGGCATGTAGTGCACCAGGTCTCTGTATTCAGCCCTTCAAAAAGTGTAGTTGGTTCTGCAAAAAGCCTTCACCACTATGATCAAATCATATGTGCTGGTGTTTGGGCTGTCAGTTCGTAGGAACTGATCTGCTTTGACCCTCATACATCAAATATGATGGGAGAGTCCACCATATATATAGATATATATATATATATAGATAGATAGATAGATAGATAGATAGATACTGTGAAAAGGAAATTTGGTGTCTTCTTATGATATGATTTGATCATTTAAGTGTCATGTTATTGGCTAATGGTTAACAAACTTGTCCAATAGACCATTACTACCATAGAGAGTTTCATCTTCTCTGTCTTCACGTTATTTGAAGGCTTGTATCCATTTAGTAAGCAGTGTCTTGCTGGCACAGATGCATAAATATTTAAATGCATATATATAAAGGGATAAGCATCAGTCTGTTTATATCTTTTTATTTATATCTTTATTGTTTTTTTTTTTTTGTGTGTATATCATATTTTATCTATTTTTAAATAAATATCAGCATAATAATTCTTTCTTCCATGGTCATAATGATTAGTTGAGGATCCAGTTCAGAGATGATAACAGAAACCATGGATGATGATTTAGAATGCTGGATGTCTTAATGAATGGACATGTTTTTTTTTCTTGCTTCAAGAAAGCTAAGGGAAGTTATATTTCAATATATCAACTTATATAATATATAATAATAATTATATTATTATAAACAGTTAAGATGATAAATATTTTAATAAACTGTATTATTTGTTGTTTAATGCTTAATGTTTTGTGTTTTATAGTTTTGTGCTTTTTGTGTTTTTTGTTTCATGTTTTTTTTAGTTTTGATTGTTTTAAGTGTTGTTACATTTTCCTTTTCAATGTCATAGGATTAAATACAAATCTTTTCTATAGCTTTCTTATACTTTTTGTTTTACTATTAGTTTTCCTTGTCTTTTATGTTTTGATGGTTTTTGTTGAAGCTTTTTATATCTTCATTTTTCAGTTTTGCTTATTGGTTGTTTATTTTTAGTTTATAGCTAATTGCTGATATTTTTAAATGCTTGAAATTGTTTTCTTGTGATTGATTTTTTCATTTTCTTATAATATTCTTAAATTCTTTTTACTTTTTATTAAAAAAAATTTTTTCTTTCTTATAGTTCAATGCTTTTACACATTGTAAGATGTTCTTGATATTTTGGACTTTCTTTTGAATTACAGCTTTTCTTTCTGTTCCTCTTTTAAATGCCTTTCTATTTTAACCATTTTGCTTATATCTTTTTTCTACCCCAACTCAATATTTTGCAAACTGTTCATTTGCTGACAAGGTTTTATTTATATTATTATCCATTACAAACATACTCTATTTTTTTTCTTTTTCTCAGTCATTTGTATTTCTATAACAACTGTATACTCTATCTTCTTTACCTGCCACATCTCCATTCCATGTTCCTCATTCCAAACAAACCACATCCTCCATCATTTTTTTGGAGAACTTCAAACCTTGAACACATAAACAAACGGAATCTACAGTTTCATTATATCTTAAGATGTATTCCTTGTTAGTCTCAACTCTAAAAAGAAAATTTACAACACATCTATATTCTTCAGACCACATTACCCATCAGCTTCTTTGTTTTGAAATGTTAAAAGTTGTATAAAAACGAAATAAAAATGTTTTATAACCATGAATAAAGTAAGTGGTCCATTGCTCGGAAATGAATAAAAACTATACTGCTTGTCAGATACTGAAATGATTTTTTTCAATATCCATTTTAAACCTCATAAAAGAAAAACAAAATTTAATCGTACAACAAAAAATATCTCAGAGAAATGTGTCATATATATTAAAGTTAAATATTTACACACACATTCACTTAAATACAATTAAAGTGAAAAAAAGACAGGAAAAAAGACAGATTATACACGTGGATTCTGTAAAACAAAGTTGAATATTTTTTATATGTAAAATTGCTCTCTAAATGGAGTGAAAATATATTTTAGAAAATTCTGAAAAATATATTTCTTTTATTTTATATGATGCATTTAAGGGCATAAAATGTATATTTACACCTGAAGAGTGCAGAGATGCAACATTATTTTATTGTGCATCCAGCTCTAGAAAAATACATATAGATGCTATATATATATATATATATATATATATATATATATATATATATATATATATATATATGATAAAATATAGTTTTAAGGTATGCAATATTTATGGATTAAAGTGCTGAATATCAGTGATACATAATACATAAATATAAAAGTAAAAAAAACACAAAAATAAAAATAAAATAAATAAAAAAATAAGTAAAACAATTTAATCCAAACCAATAAATAAGTAAATAACTTAAGTAAATAATGAACAAATTAACAAACCATGAATGCAAATATAAACACAAGTAAACATAATAACCAAAAATAAAATAATAAATAAAAAAGGAGGTAAAAACAATACTATAAATAGCTCAAACTTCATCCAGATCCACAATTAATTCCACTCAGTTGCTTCTAGAATAATTTGAAACAGAACTATTATGTTCCACAAAAATAGCCACTAGAAAATAAAATAGACTACCCAGAATTCATCACTGACCTGTATAGATATAAATAGTCTAGCAAAAACACAATGCATATAGACTGAGGATTGCATTTAAGCATAAAACAGACTGTCACCTTTATAAATAAAAGAACAGAGATGTAGAAATACCTGGGTCCACTTTATATATATATATATATATATATATATATATATATATATATAAAGTGAATGGTGGCCATGGTGGCCTGACGATTGTGTCTAGCATGAAACAGCCTGTTGCCTCTAAGTGTTAACTTCAATGTTCTCTTTTATATTTACACATGCTCTATCTCTGATATTGAGCACTTTTATCCCATAAATATAGCACACACCTTAAGAGTATATTTCTTCATATATATATATATATATATATATATATATATATATATATTATATGTATATATATAAAAGGAATTAATGAATTTTATTTTGATTTTTGACATTATTTATTTATTTTTGTAAACATTATTTTACTGTTGATACAAATGTTTGGGTATATGCCAGTTCTTTTTCATGTATCACCCTGCACATTGAACTAAGTTAATAAAGAAAATACACCCTGACAGTGCATTTTCTTTATTTTTTATATTGAATATGCACACTGCTAGATGCAATTCACACTGTTTAAAAAAAAAAGAAACAGGACATTTATATATAATTTATATATAAAAGAACAGAGATAAAGAAATGCCTGGTTTAGTGTCCAGGTGTGCAGTAATTGCACTGGTAATTTGGTGGACTCTTTAACCATTGTTAAGATATCTGATTAAGGAAAATTATGATTTAACATTGGCAACTAGACAACAACCAATGATGTTAACTGTTTATTCTTTTGGGGTGTATGCTATTTTTTGCTTAGAGAGTAAGACTGAACTATTGCAATGTCTTCCTACACATTGACAATTTCATGCACATACATTGCTTGATATCAGAAGATGCTTTTTGTATGATGACTACTATCTTGCTATGCTCATACATGACAATGAGGTGGAAGCTATATATATATATATATATATATATATATATATATATATATATATATATATATATATATATATATATATATATAACTTATCATATCATACATCCAGCTCTATAAATGATGCTAAGTATATATATATATATATATATATATATATATATATATATATATATAATAAAATATAGTTTTAAGGTATGCCATATTTACAGGTTAAAGTGCTCAATATCAGGGATAGAGCATATATGAATATAAACATGTACACTGAGGGCAACAGCCAATGCCTACACTCTCTTTCATACTTAAACACTATCTTCAAGCCATATGATCATGCCATATATATATATATATATATATATATATATATATATATATGCATGCATGTATTTGTGTGTAGAACATTTGACACTTTTATATTTACATATGCCCTATCACTGATATTGAGCATTTTTATCCATAAATATCTCATACCTTAAAACTATATTTTTCTCACATATATATGTGTGTGTGTGTGTGTGTGTGTGTGTGTGTGTGTGTTTGTGTGTGTACATATATATATATGAGCCCATGCTCAAGTGGTTAGAATGTTAGCATTCTGACAATGAGGCCTGAATTTGAATACTACCATAATCAATGTGAAAGAGGTGTCTTTTTGATAATATTGACCTGCTGAGATGATCATTGCATATGGCACTGCTGGGGAGTGCTTAAAAACGATGCCTTGAGTTGACGCAAGAAATGTAAATGAAATGATATAAACAAAGTGGTTAGAATAGAAATGCAGTTAAAAGAGAAACAGAAAGAAAAGTTGAGATTCAGAAGCAATCCATACTTGCACTACCATGAAGTTGCAAAAATAATAAATGAAGGCTTGAGTGTACTTGACTTCTTCAATTACCAATCATGCAAGGTGATGTGTTCTTTCCCAGAAACTGTAACTAAGGCCTGTTCAGCATAGCTGCAGCATAAACCACAGGTTGGATCTGTGAAGGTTAAAGAAACACAAATGCATCTGTGGTGAGGAGCGAGTAACCACCCTAGAAGGCTTGGCATTGTTCAAACTATTGATCATGCCAGCTGATGCACTCACTCCCTGAAACTGTATCTAAGGTCCAGTCAGTATAGTTGCAGTATAAACTATAGATGGGCTCTGTGGGTGTTGAACTAACATAAATGTGCCTGAGCAGGCATCTGCAATAGGGATTATCAGTCATGGTTGTTCAGATGTGCTGTAGATTATCTTGCAAGATAAAGGTAGCACCCTGTTTAGTCAAAAATTCAGTCCTTTGAAACTGAATGATCTCACCAAGGCACAGGCCTGGACAATGGTATATGGAAGTGGTGCATTTGACAGATTATATGGCTCCCCACTCTCAGCCATACTGTCAAGATCCAAAGGATTACATTTGGGGATGGTTTGGCTGCAGGAGTTGCCAGAAAGTTTTCAGCAAACCAAGTTCTGAGTTGCACTTGGGGTTTTCTGTCTGGATTTACTCTCATAGGTTTCCCCATCTTTGGATATAAGGCAGTGGAGGTTTAAAATCACAGTTTTCCTTCTACTAAAAACTATCTACCTGAGCTGTTGAGCTCCATCTACCTGAATATATACAGGGTGCAATGGATAAGTTGTCTAAATTACACAAAAAGCAAAATAACAGTGAAACCTTATTTTAACAGATATATTTACCAAAATTACACAAAAAAATCTTGAAATACAAAAGAGCAAATTTCTTCAATAAAATCGGCATTGACTTCAACCACGGCCTCCAGATGATTTTGGAACCTCCTGCAACTCTTTCTGGATTAAGTTTTTGTTTAAGTTGTTGAATGCAGCCATAATTCTTGCCTACAGTTCATCATTGTTGTTACAAGGAGTTTTTGTTGGTCTCTCACTCAACTGTGACCCACAAATAATAATCAAGGGGGGTTGCAGTCTGGGGAGTTAGGTGGCCAGATGTAAGAATTGGTGTGGTTGCAGAAATTGTCTAACATGACTGGGTTATCCTGTTTATGTAGCTTGATGCAGTGTCCTTTTGCCAGACACTGGGTCTTCCAGCAACCACTTTCTTGACCCAGGGCAGCACTATCTCAAGGCACTTGATGTAGGCCTCCATGTTGAGTTTGAGGCCCTCACCAACAAATTTGGGACTTCTTTTCTCATGAGAATGATCAGCTGTACCTTTGTAATTACCATTAGACTCATTGAACTCTTTTTGAATCCTCTGTACTGTCCTCAGATTAATACTCAAACACTCTGAAATGTTTGTATTTGAGCTTCCAACATGAATGCTAAGCAGTACAGGATGCTGTTTCCAAAATTCTGGTGAAGTGAAATGTATCATGATGCTCTTTTTCTCACAGATGCTGCCCAACTGACCCTACTATACTGTGCAGATGACAAAATCAATAACAACAAATGCACAAAATGAAAAATATAAAATGGCAACAATTTACACATTGCACTATATATATATATATATATATATATATATATATATATATATATATATATATATATATATATTAATTTTATATATATTTTGTACATGTATATGTGTGTATGTGTGTGTGTGTGTGTGTGTGTGTGTGTGTGTGTGTGTATGAGTTATATATATACTGTTTTCACAACCTAAACTCATTTTCCTTGGTCTGATAAAAAACAGAAAATTCATACATAGTGTAGATTATCTCCCTTTAATAAAATAACTGGAATTGAAAACAGTATTAACAGCATTCAATGCAATCTTTTTATATGATGTTCATGGAAAGCCAGTGAGAAAGAAAAAAGAGAGTAAATTAGATTTTGATAAAAGAGGGGGTGTTTTATTGAATGAGGGGGAACTGAGAAGCAAAGATTGTGAGTAATGTACGGATAGTTGTGTCTGGTTAGGTAGAATTTTTTGAAAGTGTGACTGAATGGTAGAGTGGAATGACAAAAAGATTTGTACTAAAAGAGAGAAAAATAATGAAAGAATGAAGAAAGGAAAGAGAAGTGAGAGAAATGAATGGAATGATGAGATAACCAGGAAGCAGGAGAAGCATATGAGACAGAAAAGAGAGAATACTAGTAGAAGTCAAAGAGAGCAGAGGAAATGGAAAAGAAAGAAAGAAAGAAAGAAAGAAAGAATGAAAGAAAGAAAAAGGAAAATTGAATGACTGAGCAAAAAAATAAATCAAAAGCTTAAGTAACATAAAAGAGAAGGCAAGTAGAATAGAATAAAAAAAGGAAGTAGTAGAATAAAAGAAAGAGAGAGAGAGCAAAATAGAATGGGAAGAGAGAGAAGTAAGTGCAAAGTGAGTGAATAGAAAAGTAATTTTACTTGCAATGAAAATGTAAGACATTTTTGTACTTGGGAAAGAAAAGACCAATGTTAAATGAGAAAAACAAGAATGAGAAAAATGGAAATAAAATGAGCAGGAAAAGAAAGAAAGAAAGAAAGAAAGAAAAAAATAAAGAAAAAAGAAAGAAAAGAAAAATAATGAGAAGAAAAAGTGGAAATGTGTAGCCTGTCTATTCTCTCTGTTTTTTAATGTTAAGCTTATTATTGTGAAGTCATCAATACCAATCAATTCACATCAAAGACATTAAGCAATCCAAATCAGTGACCAATTAGTAAACAAAATACTAAAGCCATCAGAAAAAACAATGGAAATAGGAGGGGGAAATCATTATTAGCATTGTGGTGACTTCATATGTCTAAATATTACTTACATTTTATATATATATATATATATATATATATATATATATATATGATTATAAGTATTCTATACCAGTTTTAGATTGTAGATTAAAAATGATCCAATTTCTGATCTCTCATAATTCTTAAGATCATCCAGAATAACTCATTACTAGCATTGTGTGTTTCCATATATAAAAATATTTTTACCAAAAATTAAAACCTTTGTGTGTTTTACAGCCAAATGGAACACTTAAATACATGGTGAGATCTGTATTTAAAATGGGACAGCATTTTAATTATGTACAATAATCCCAACTTGATGAAAATACTGTAACAACTTATACATACAGTCTGACTGTAATCCCTACTTTGGATGTTTATATAGTGTAACAGTTATAGATGTGGAATCTACAAGCTGACTTAGTTCAAGTTAGTCTGTTGCATTTACTCTGTACTATTGCCTGTGGGAAACTAAGTGTTAAATAGGAAGATAGGCTTTTCTGTGTAGCTATGGCTGGTAATCACTTTAGAAGAGCAATAAAACAATAGAAAAGTCAACTGGAAAAAACTCTGCTGTATTTTCTAAGAAGTTGTTGCACTTCAGGAATAATAAAGAAAATAGATCTGTCGAGAGCCATGAGTTCCTGAAGAGACATTCATAAACACCTCCCAGTTATCCACAGATTGTAAATTGAACTAAGGATATTGCTTGAGCTATATATGCTATGTCTTTTCCTATACTGTGATCGATTATAATTTACAAATTATGCACAATAAGAGGTAAAAAAAAACAATAACTAATAATAAAATGTAGCAATCATGACAATACACTGTAATAAATGTTATGGCATGGATAAAAGATTCATTCTTACTGTAGATCTTATTAGTAATAATAAAAAAAACAGAGTTACGGGATATATAGATTTATCCATACTGTACATTTTAGTAATTTCAAAATACAATTTTTGTTTTATCTTTTTATTCTTTAATCAATTCACCCCAAGCAAGGTGATAATGCCACTAAGACACAAGGGGCTACTGAGAATGAAAAGAGGATGAGAAGAATTTAGAAGGAACTGGAAACCCTATTCTAAACAGGTAAATCCCTGATATTTCTACAATTGTAAATGAACACAGAATGCCTTTTGCGTGACACTGCTGACTAGCAAAACAAGGAATTGTGAGTGATCTACTGCTTTGGACACCTAGCCATGGAGCAAGATGGGTTGGTTGCCCAGTAATCACCTACATTGACCAACTATGTTATCACACAGAATTAACCCTAATGACCTTCCGACCTTGATGCAGAGCCATAATGGCTGGTATGATAGACTTATGAATGTCCAAGCTAGCTCTACTGACCAGGGAGCAGGTGATATGTGAACATATCTACTCCTATTGAGAAAAAATAAATAAATAGTAAATAAAATTTCAAAGTTTAGGCATAGATGCTAGAAGTATAGAGTTGAAGTAGACTTTAGAACGAACCAGAAACACAATACTAAACAGGAAACAAGGGATAAACATCTACTTCTCTTCAAAAGACTGGTAGGAGTGTAAAGTGTATGATAGGTGAATCTGTTAAATCAAGAATATTAATTTTCACTTTATGGCTTCTTTTTGGAATATCTGAATTGTCAGCAGAGCTACTGTTATATTTTAGGGCCATTATTAAGCGTAAGTTAATTGTTTTATTCTAGGGCAGACAACTGATATCATAGAAAACAAAACTGTAGATAAAGGAAAATAACTGTACTTAATTATACGATAGTCAAAATGAGTTGCTACAGCAGTAGTGTATTCTAACACTCTCATAATTTCTTATTCTTAAATAATTTCTTATTCTTAAATAATTTCCTATTCTTAAATAATTTCTTATTCTTAAATTATTTCCTATTCTTAAATAATTTCTTATTCTTAAATGATACATTACAATAAATACTTGTTAAATAATAATAAATTCTTTATATTCTTAAAAATCTTCAAAGAGATATTTTTTTTTTAATCTTTTAACCCAAGGAAGGCAATAAATTCATGATGACACAATAGGATACTGAGTGTGAAAGAATAAGCAAAAAGAGAAACATTATTAAGGAGTGAGAACAATAAAAGAAGAGGAATCAGGAAGACAGTAGATAATAACTGACACTGAATTTAAATTTTTGAAGATTGAAGTTGGCTTGAAGACATGGAGACAGAAGAGAGTTCCACAAGTGAGAAGTATGAGAGAAGAAACTGTTAGCATAGAACTTACAGTTACATATAGCCATTCCAACAGTAAAATGATGAGATCTTGTGCCAATATAGCACTGTGCTTAAATTCATAAAGTCTAGACACCCTAGATCAAAGTTCATCAGAACAATTAGCATTAAAGTATTTATAAAAAAGGCACAGGGCAGTTACATTAAGGTCACGGGAAATTAACTGAAGCCAAGACTCAGGATCTTTCTTTAGATTTTATCAGGAATCTCTAAATACACAGCAGGAGGAGAAGACCATATATGGCAGCAATATTCAAAGTATAGCAGACTTATAAATAAGTAAAGTAGAGAGAAAAACTGTCTAGCACAACACAGTGAACTAACTTTCCTAGTAGCAGATCTAGCAATTGATCCAATATAATCTTTCTGTTATGTGTCAGCAGAGATTGTCAGCCTGAGAAGGGACCACAAGTCACTCTCCTGGAGGTTAGCATCAGCCATGTTGATAGATGGCAGAAAGGGGTTTCTCAGATGATTAACAGAAAACACTTCCATTTGGATGTGTTAAAATTAACAAGCTATTCCTTGCCCTAGTTAACATTTAACATATTCCTAAGTAATGCTAGGATTATTGAACTTATTCTTTTTGTATAATTACAGTAAAATTTCACATGTTCTATAAAATAAAAAATAGATAATTATCCTTTATATATCTACATATACATCATGATCATGAGTCTTATAACCAGTTACAGTCATAGGAGCACCACATGCACTGCAGCCACAGCAGAAGTGTTGTTTATTTTTTTTTTGTTTTTTTTTTGGTCAAGCTAGCCTGACAAAGCCCAACAGTCTTCTGGCTGGTTTGAAGTCAGTGTTTTCCTTCTCCTAGACTGGTTGTCATCCAAGGCTATAGGACCCAGTTTGTCCTACTATTTTACCTATAGCTGGGGGAGAAGAGATGGATTCATACTTTTCTTATGGGATCTGAACTCAGCTCAATCTGAGCCCCCATCCATTACTACAAAATTACAGAGAGTATCACAAAAGAATTTTATTTTTTGCAACTTCAAGAAATTCTCAGAATACTCAAAGGAAATAACAGTATCATAAATCCCTTTTAGTGTCTTCAAATATTGTTTTTTTCATATGGTTACTTATTCATCAGTAGCCATACATTACATTGCTTAACTTCCAAACTGTGGCAGAGAACATATAACAAATATAAGATACATTAGGAAAAGTACTTTTAAGAGATTCAATATGGGAACACAGTCCAAAGAAAGGGTTCACACATTCTCTTTAATAGTAGATATTAAATTATGATGAGTTTTACAATAGCTATTCTGTAGAAACATGATAAAAATCACCCTTTAAAAGAAAATGAAACAAAATAAAATAAGGTTTTATCTTGATTTATTTAAAAGCAAAAGCTTATTACATATTTCTTGTTCATTCCATACTATCAATAGATAGTAAAATAATATTACCTTTCTTTTTCTTTAACAATTAAATTTTTTGTTTTGTGCATTTAATATGTTGACTGTTGTATAGAGTAGGAGTCTATGGAGAAATCTAAGCTAATTTGTTCATTTCAAAGAATTTCTTTGAAAAACATTTGCTGTTTTTTTTTTCTCTATATTAAATTCCAACTATAAATCAAGACTGGGATTTTAGGTGGAGTTTACAGAAATATCTCAGTGATAGGAAAACTCACTTTTAGAGAGTGAAGCCAAAGTTTCAGTTATTCCTCCTCTTTCTCCACCTCTTGGAGAATATGGTCACCCATTCACCATGTTAGTACCATGGTTTCTGCAGCAAGTAGGATTTTATTAGGTGGAATTGCTAGCCCCACACCTAGCTGGTTTTAAATCCAGTGTTCTCTATTTAGAGTGGTTGCCAACCAATGCGAGAGATCTCAGTCTGTCCTTATATATAACCCATAGCTGGGGAGGATAAGAGACAGATTCATACCTTTCAAAGATTATTTATGGGAAAGTGCATGTAACAAACTTGACTGGAATTCAAATTCAGCATGCTATTTCTACTTTAACTTTACCATGCCCCCAAATTTATCAACTAACAATAGTCTGTTGACAATATCCTAGTGAATTAAGACATTAGTTCATGAATATGGTTGAATAGTAATTGTAAGTTCAGTCCCTGGGCTGAGTAGTACCAACTCAGAATTAGTGGAAATGGGGTGGACAATAACTGAGCATACTAAAAGGATCAAAATAATAAACCCCTAGACATGAACAGTTGAATGATAACAATGTATTTATCTAGAGTTCCTTGATAAAATCCAAAGAAGAATCTGCTATATTATTAGTCCTGATCTGGTGTTTCAAGTTTGCATCCCAGTTCCTTTCCTATAAATCCTTTCATGGTAATTTTTTGAATTAGCTCTTCACTATGGTAGCTAAATTTTTGAATTTAAGTGCATTAATAGACTGG